GAACTGGAGTTACAGACAGTTGTTAGCTGCCATGTGGGTGCTGGGATTCGAACCCAGGTCTTCTGCAAGAACAGTCAGTGTTCTTAACCACTGAGCCATCTCTCCAGCCCCTCTTCCTTTCTTTTCTAACACAGAGTGTTATGAACTCCCACTAAGTAGCTGAGGCTGTCCTTGAATTCCTGACCCTCCTGTCTCCCAGGTGTTGGGAATTCCAGGCATGGGTACCATGTCCAGCTCCAGCTTCTCTGTCTGTGTCTACTTGCTGGATTTTCTTTTCCATTTGTCTTCATTCAACCATTTTGCTTAGATTTTCTCTTGTGAACAGGGTTTTTTGGTTTTCTCTCAGTCTGATACTTTGCCTTTCCTAGGGATTTTTCTCCTTCATTAAGATTATGATTGTGGGAGCTGGAGAGACGGCTCAGCAGTTAAGAACACTGTTCTTGCAGAAGACCCAGGTTTGAATCCTAGCACCCACATGGCAGCTAACATCTGTCCATAACTCCAGTTCCAGGGATTCTGACAGCTGCTTCTGTCCTCCATGGGCATTGCATGACACGGGTGCACTTACCTATATGCAGGCAATACACTCATACACATAAAATAAAAATAATAAATTTTTTTAAAAGATTATCATTGTGGCCTTGTTTTGTGCTTTTATTATATTTAGATTTTTCTTTCATTCCCCCTTCATTTTTAGTTTAAAATTTTATTTGTATTATACCAATAGTGAAATTTAAATTAAAATGTACATGTTTAGCCGGACGTGGTGGCACACGCCTTTAATCCCAGCACTTGGGAGGCAGAGGCAGGCCGATCTCTGTGAGTTCAAGGCCAACCTGGTCTACAGAGCGAGTTCCAGGCAGCTGGAGCTACAGGGTGACCCTCTCTCAAAAAGACCAAAAAAAAAAAAAAGTAAAAGTACATGTCTGAATTTTATTTGCCAGTGTTAATCGAGTCTCTGTTAAAGAGAAAAATCAGTTCTTTATTCCCTCCTTTTGCAGACTACTCTCTTACGTATGAATCCATGAAATTTTATAGATTTGGAATTGTTTGTAAAGTATAAAAATTCTTTTTGCCATAGTTCTTAAGTTGGCATTAAACTGCACAACCACTGCTTCAAATCTAACCCCGTCCTGGTTTTTCACTGACCACTATTTTTTCTTTAACACATCTTTCTGTTTCTTGCCTTGTTTCGTTTTAGATGGTTCATTTAGCTGAAGATGACCTTGATCTCTTGATCCTTCTGCCTCTGCCTTCTAAGTGGTAGGATCTTGGGCTTGGGCCACCAAGCTTTGCATCTTCCTGTTCTTAATTCTTTATTTTGAGTCATTTTCCAGGGAGTTGGGATGCCTTCTTGTTTATTTATTTTTACATTTATTTATTTATTTTGGGCAGCACATGTACCATGTTGCCATGAGTGTGGAGGTAAAAGGACAACTTGTGGGAGTCAGTTCTATTCTTTCACTAGGACTTGAACTCAGGTCATTAAGCTTAATAGCAAATGCCTTAACCTGATGAATCATCTTGCCAGCCCTGTGATAACATTCTTAAAAATTCAGAAAGGGAGGCAGGCGTAATCCCAGCACTTGGGAGGCAGAGGCAGGTGGATCTCTGTGAGTTCAAGGCCAGCCTGGTCTACATAGTGAGTTTCAGGCCAGCTGGGGCTACAGAAGACCCTATCTGGAAAAGACCAAAAAACAAAAATTCAGAAAGGGCCAAGTGTGGTGGCACATGCCTTTAGTTTCAGCACTCAGGAGGTAGAGGCAGGCAGATCTCTGAGATCAAGGCCAGCCTGGTCTACATAGCAAGTTACAGGCCAACTAGGGCTACAGGGAGACCCTGTCTCAAAAAAAAAAAAACAGAAAAGGTTGTGGGTGCCATAGTTTTTGAATGGCTTATTGTCTGAAGCCACCTTTCCTTTGCCTTAGAATATAAAAGGTAGTGTCTGTTGTACGAAACTGTTATATGCTTCAGATGTTTCTGTGCACTGATGTGTGTGTGTGTGTGTATGTATGTGTGGTGTGTACCCATGTTCATATATGTATGGGTATGCATGCATGTGTGTACAGAGGTCAGAGTTCAACATCAAGTGTCATTCCTTCTTGTTTTTTGAGATCCTCCTCCTGTCTCCACTTCCCAGAGCTGGGTTTACAAGTATGTGCTGCCAAACTCAGCTTTTTATGTGGGTGCTGGGGATCAAACTCATCTTCTTGCTTGCTGGGCAAGCACTTTATCCACTGAACCATCTCATACCCAGTTTTTGTTTTGTTTTGTTTTTTTGAATTTTCTAAAAATGAGTATGAGTGTTTTGCCTGCATGTATGTAAGTGTACCATGTTTGTGCATTGCCCATGGAGGCTAAAAGAGGGCGTCAGATCCCCTGGAACTGGAGTTACATTGACTGCCATGTGGTGCTGGGAACTCAGCTGAGGTCCTCTGCAAGAGCTTCCTGCTCTTAACTGCTGAGCCATCTCTTCAGCTCCTTCTTTGAATATTTTTGATCCACTCTTGGTGCATCAGCAGGTGCAGACCCCCACTGATATAGAAGGCTAACCTGTGTTCAGTTTGCAGAACTTCATTTTATCCATGTTCGGAAAGTTGTCAGATAAAAAATACTGTCTTAATTGTTGGAAGGTGGAACACACGTGATTTTTGTATGTTGATGTACTTTTGCAGAGGAAAAACAAAAAATGTCTACCAGCCACATAAACATGGGATTCAGATCTCTTTCTTCTAACATGTTTCCTTCCTTTTTTTCTTTCTTTCTTCATAATTCACTTGTCGGGTTCCTGCCCTGTATTGCATAGTGGTCCTTTGGGGGTTGCATCTTTTCACCTCATGTTCTTTTTCCATGGTCCTTCTTATGGCAGCCTGTTCTTATTCTATCAATGAAACAGTCTCCAGAATCTCATTGAGGTATTTTTTCTTTCCCTATTTTGGGCAACAGATCTCTCTGAGCACAGAGGTTGGTCTTCACTCCTTTTCAATTAAAGATCTATCTATATCTATATATCTGTCTGTCTGTGTAGGCACATGAGTAGAGGTCAGAGAACAACCTTGGTGTCTGTCACACCTTCCACTTTGTTTCAGACAGGGTCTCTTTGTTGTTGCCACTGTGTGCTACATAGGTCAGGCTGGCTGGCCCACAAGCTGGGGAGATTTCCTGGTCTGTTTCCCATCTTGCTTCTATGCCCAGCTTTTCTGGGGATTCAAACTCCAGTCCTCTTTTTTTTTTTGGTCATTTTGAGACAGGGTCTACCTGTAGCCCCAGCTGACCTTGACCTGGAACTCACTTTTTAGACCAGGCTGGCCTTGAACCCACAGAGATCTGCCTGCCTCTGCCTCCAGAGTGCTAGGATTAAAGGCGTGCACCACCATGCCCAGCTCTCGTTCTTTTTTTAAAAAAATATTTTATTGGGCCTGGAGAGATGGCTCAGTGGTTAAGGACACTGACTGTTCTTGCAGAAGACCCGGGTTTGAATCCCAGCACCCACATGGCAGCTAACAACTGTTCA